AGATAAGAAAGGGAAAATTAGGCTCAAATTGGTTAGCAAGTAGGTGGATGCAAAATAATAAACCAAATTTGTAACAAAACATAAAAAAAATAATGAAAAATGAGAAAGGTGCCCTTTTCCTCCCCTAGCGTAGCTCGGTCACGATCTTGGGAGCTAGAGGTCAAAACAAGGAGACATGCATAGCCAAGGATCCTAAATTGCCGCTCAACAACGTGATGAAGGCTAGAACAAATGGAGCTCACAAGGGATTATAACTAAACAAATACCAACTAAGGGTTTCAAATCCACTAGAGAAAGCTACTCCATCTTACCACATTCCCGTGAACTAAGGCTTCATGGACCCCTAAAAGTTCTTAAACCGGCTACCTTAGCATATAGTATCCTAGAGTCAACCAAACTCTCAAACCGTGCACACATTTACCACTAAGGAAGAAAAACATTCAAGGATTCAAGTCCCAAAACAATATAGACAAAACAAGAATTAACAAAACACATTGTGCCGAAATTACCTTGAAAGTAAACAAAATCTTTTTGGACTTTTCAAAATATAAGAAAAGACATGGAAATGCATATACTCGAGTGCACGACATATATGAATCAACATCCCACCAAACATGATAGAATACCCTCCCCCAAGCTTGAATGAGACAATATGCTTAAAAATAAACCAAAGAGTCCATGGGAGGGGAAAAGAAAGTGATCAACCCAACAAACCAACACATGTCCAACAAGTCACCAACCCTTAGAGAAAGATCTAGGAAAGATATTATCGGATATTGGTGGGTATAAATACCCGCAAATGACCCAATTTAACCTTTCAAAGCCAATTTTCTCTTGAATTGCATCTTGGTTTCCATGTGCTAGCAAAAATAGGCATCAAACTTCCTTGCTTCTTGATCCAAACCAAAGTATAAGAGTATATCAAGTCATGTACCTAGCAAGGGACACACAAACATTTCCATGAGAGAAAATATAATCTAAAAAGAAAAGAAAATGAAATCAATAAAAACCACAGGTTACTTCCCGAGAAAGGCTTGTTTAACGTCCAAGCGAGACCACTCTAGTAAATAATATTGCAACGAACACAAGAGCTTATCAAATGCACTAATACACATATCATAGGATAACAAGTAGGCAAATGAAGGAAGGAGGACGTGCAAAAAGATTATTGCACGTAAGTGAGGAGGAAGATGCCAAAAGAAAGAATAAAAATCAAAAGAAAAATCAAGAAAGTAAGAAGAATAAAAAGAAGAAAAAGGCAAAACCTCCTCTAAATCATTTTGGGTGGCACAATCACCCATTTCCTCAATAATGGGAGGATGAAAAGGAAGAGTCTCATCAAAGAAGAGAGGGTCCTCAATAGGCTTTAAGACAAAATATGGGTGGAACATAGGATAGTAGGGATGTGGTCGAATTTCTTTGAAAAAGAGACACGAGGAAGGGAAGGAGAAACAATGGACTCACAAAGCCTCACATCCCCAATATATGAGGGCATGAAAATCGATCATAGAATCCTCACATGAACACTCATGACTCACATCTCCCTAAAACAAAACCTCTCTTAGAGAAATAACCTCATCCTCCTCTCTATCACAACTGTAATCCCCCATATTTTTAAATATATTATAAATGAAATTATATATTATTTATAATATTTATTTTTATTTTTCCGGAATTTAATTTCAAAAGTTTCAATTTTTAATTTAGGTCGAAAATTATTTTGGTACAAATTTTTATACATACCTTCATTCTATAATTCATGTCCAAATAAACAAAGCCAAACTCATTTTACATACTTGATTGGCCCATTAATTTTATGAGGCCCAATCTTACAACTTACCCTACACCACTCTCTCTCCTATAAATACCCCATACATCCCCAAATTTTTCACCACACAAAAAGGTTAGTCTTATTTTCTCTCCTCTTTATTTTATTTTCTTATTTTATTCTTATTTTTCTTTTTCCTCTTATTTTCTTTTCTTTTCTTTTCTTTTCTTTTCTTTTCTTTTTCCTTTTTCTTTCTTTTCTTTTTCTTTCTTTTTCTTTCTTTCCTTCCTCCTTCACGTGAGAAAGACTTCACTGCCGCCCCAAGTGTTGTTGCCGCCTTCCGCCGCTGCCACACTGCCGCCCACCGCCGGCGACCTACCAGCCCAGTCGTGGCCCACCGTGGCTGCCCCTTTTCCTCCTCCTTTGTTCTATTCTTAGTTTTTCTTAGAATTGATTTAATTGTTTTGGGGTTTTGATTTTGTAGTATAAAGATTATATTTTTAGTATTAAAATCATGTTTTTGATAGTTTAAACCTATAATTTGAGTTTTTAATTGTGTTATATATTTTAAGATTTTATAATTTATAAACCTAGGGTTTTAATTTAATCAAATTGGGATTTTAGGGTTCTAATGAGCAATTAATTTAGGGCTTTTGTTCCTATTGTATTTATAATGATTAATTAACCATAAAAAACATGTTTTTAATGGAGTTTTAAGGACATTTAATCTAAATTATATTGCTGGAAATTTGGTTAAGTATTAATTTATTGTTGTTGCTTGTTTTCTAGGAAGTGATTATTTCTTAGGAGACTTTTAAGTGATTAAAAGTGGAACAAAGGATTGTTTACATAAGGTACGTACATATCTACTTCGTTGTAAGTAGTATCATGTTTAGGTACCAAAGAAAAGAACTTAGTTTCATGATTAGGGAACACTTGGATGGAAATTGTTTGGTTACACATTGATTTAATTCATGTGCTTATGTTTATGAGACATGTTTTGGTGAATTGATTCTGTTTGTATGAAATTATGAATGCAAACATGTTGAATTATATTGGATTAATTGTTTGTATGGAATGTCGATACAAGCATATTTTATTGGATTGGTTTATTAACCATGTTTGGATTATTAAAGGGTTGGAATTGAATGGATTAAGTGGAATGAATTTATTAATTATTCCATAAGGTTATTATTTATTTACTTATTACTCAATCATGACTTATAAGTATGTTGAGTAAAGGTGGATTAAGCCGAATGGCTAGGTGAGTTGACTATATTCAACAATTTTGGTTAATTTATAAGTTTAATGGAATTAAAGGTCAATTTGTGATGTGATCACCATTGTCCTAAATAAGATTAAAAATGAATTGATGTATGATTGTTATGCATGGTCTACTTGATTGAGTCGGCTATTAATTAAAATTGTAATCACGTAAAGTGAAACATGGATGAGCAATAAAACTCTGGAAAGCGTGCACTTCTAGAGTATTGATAATTATGGGTTGGGATACACGGTGGTAGCCCGTGGCTTTCCGAGGCTTGTTTGATCAACATGTCCTCTTCTCTTTTGGTATTTACATTTTTATTTTATAATGAAAGTTAGATGGGATCCTAGACTAACTTTGTGAGGATGGAGTCGCGCCCATTCTTGCATCGCGCTAAACTTTTATTTTAAATGGTCATTTGGGACCAAAATGATTTGGTGGATTGGACAACCTCGTCTATTGCTTACTCCAAACTAAATAAATTAAATTAAATATAAAGAGTCAAGTGTTTGGAATTGATTAGCAAAGTATGATGAGTCGATTGAATTGTTTAAGTGTGGAGTCTTGATTAATGAATTCAAGTTGTATGTTTATTTACTTTAATTAGTTGAGCATGTCAGGTTTTGTGTGTTGTAGCTTGTATGTACTCAGCTTTGCTGATTGCGTGCTTTTGTGTGTTTTCTTTGGTCATGGCCTTCGCCTTTCAATGACCCTGTGATGTTCCAATTATTACACTTGTATTATTGAGGAGCAGTATTGCACAAGTTAGCTTGATGATGTGGAGTTCGGGGATTTGACATACGCATTGTCAAGGGATTGGTGTGATTGAGAGTATTCGTTCTTTGTGTTGAACTTATTTATGTTTTACTATTTTAATTATGTTTTGAGATTTTGAGTATTGGTTTAGTTTTAATAAGGGCCTTTATGGTTCCAATTTGTAAGCTTTGACTTATTGGATTTCTAAATTATATTATTTTAATATTTAAGTTGGATTTCCGCTGCAATACTTTGATAAAGCCTTAACGTTTTAACACGTGGCGGTAATATGCCAATGGTTCTCCTCTATTTTTATTTAAAGTAAGTGGTTTGAAAAAGGGAGAATTATTGGGGTGTTACAAAGTGGTATCAGAGCTTAGGTTAGATTTAATTACCACTAAAGCCAATTTTAAAGTTTTTAGGCGCCTAACGTTTTAAATCTAATGAGTTTCGTTTTATCTACTTATTTAAAGTTTAATCTAATTTTTTTTTAATTATTTGATTCGGCATTTATAAAAAAAAAATAAATAAATAAATAAATAAAAATAAAAAATTGTTTATTTTAACTAATTTTTGAATTATTTATTCATTTACTTTGAAATAAAATTAATTTATTTATTTATTTTATTTTCTTAACTTCCTTGCTTGTTTCATTTTATCGGTGAGATTTGGGTAGCTTTAGAAAGGGCGTATAGGATAGATTATTTCTTTGTATATGCATTGTAATTAATTCTTTTGTCTTTTTATTATTGTATGAAGTGATTATGCAAGTTATTTAATTGTGTTTGTTTTATTGGTGCTACTTGAGTGATCACTTAGTATCATGTTTAAGGTTTAAAGCACGTAATATGGAACTATATGTGATGATTTGTGCTATAGGATATGTGTAAATTAACTTTACGTGAAGCATGTAATTATGTGATTATTATAATGTGTTTATTTAATTATATTATTTACTTAATGCTTGGATTTAGGAAGGGATTTAATCAAGGGAGTTATTTTGTTTAATTTTTGTGTGCGTAGGAATGATTAAAATTAAATAATCATTTCCTTTAAACGTGATTTATTAGGGGCGATTGTGTGGCCGTGTCCACCTTTCTACCTTAATATATATGTTTGATGATTATGAATGTGATTTATTGAGCAAGTGAGTTCTCTCGTGTTGATGTCGGCCTGAGAGTGTGTTACATTTCTAGGCAGAGAAGGAGGATGGCTAACAACGATGCTTTAGCTGATGCTATTGGGCTTCTAGCTGAGAACTTGAACCAAAACCGCAATGATAATCCCAATCCTGCGGGTGAGATGTTTAAGAAGATTGCCCAAGTCAAACCACCATACTTTGAGGGAGGTGGAGACCCAACTTTTCTAGAGAACTGGATTAGGGAGTTTAATAAGATTTTTGCTGCTTTGAATTGTCCTGTGAATATGAGAGTGGATCAAGCTGCCATGTATTTGAAGGAAGAGGCAGATATTTGGTGGAGGGATAATGGAAACGTGCTTCGTGCTGAGGCTAATTTTGGTTGGGAGACTTTCAAAACCAAACTAAGGGAGAAGTTCTATCCACCATTCTTAAGGAAACAAAAGGCTCAAGAGTTTATCAATCTGCAAATGAACAATATGTCGATTATTGAGTACTATAACAAGTTTATGAACTTATCGAGGTTTGCTCCTGAAGTAGTGCCTACTGAGGAGTTGAAACCTCAAAGATTTGAGCAAGGTTTGACTAAGCAGTTACAAAAGGACTTGGCTGGAAAGACTTTTAAGACTCTTGATAAGGTGTATGGGAGGGCAGCGCACCTGTACAGCTTGAATGTCAGGAGTGCACCTGAGAGTGGAAGTGTTGGAGAAAAGCGTAAGGATTTTGGGAATTCGAGTGACCAAGGTAACTCCAAGAAGCCGAGGAACGAGAATTTTCAGAATAGGAATGTTCAAAACAATGGAGGATCTTCTAGACCTAATGGCCAAGCTGAAAGGCATTACAACTGCAAGAGATGTGGCGAGGATCATCCTGGAAAAGATTGTGATGGGAACTTGGTTGTGTGTAGGTTCTGTAAAAAGAAAGGCCATAGGGAGTTTAAGTGTTTCTCCAAACTAAAGCTACAAGGGAATGGGAACAAGTTTACTCCAACAAGCAATCAAAAAGAGAATTCGAATGGTTATAATGGGAATGGAAAGAACGGAAATGTTGGCAACAACAACTCCGGGAATCAAGGAAAGGGTGTCACTACAGGTCGTTTGTCTGTGATGAACAAGAAGGAAGCTGAAAGGTCTTCTGATGTTGTCACTGGTAACTTTTCTATTCATTCTATTTCTATTAAAGCTTTATTTGATTCTGGAGCCACCTATTCTTTTATTTATAGTTCTTTTGTGAAACAATAAAGACTAGTTAAACCGAATCCGATTGACTTGCCTATTAGTTTGCCTCCTGGTGAAGTTTTGAGGTGCACCAAGATGCATAAGGGATAACCATTGAGGATTAGAGAGACTGATTTTCCATTTGATCTTATAGAATTTGAGTTGGGTGACCTTGATGTCATTTTGGGAATAGATTGGTTGACCAACACACCTGCAATCTTTATAGACTTGATGAACTGAGTATTTCATGAGTAAGTTTGTAGTTGTTTTTATTGATGATATTTTGGTATACTCGAATTTTGAGGAAAATGAGCCCTTGAGAGGCCGAGGATTATATGATAAAGAGATATCATGAGTTATTTAATGAGGTGAGTTACGAGGGCGTAACTCTTGTTCTTTAAGGGGGGTAGAATGCGTATCATTTCGCGCTTTTTGCCCAATTTTATGTTATTTTATGGTGTTTTCATGCTTTTCATAGCTATTTTTTTGTTTACGTATCTAGTGAAATGCGTAAATTGGGATGGTGATGAGTCATTAGTGTCGATATTATGACACAATTGGAATTCCAGCAACATAATTTTGAAAATTTTGAAAGGATTTTATGCAAATGTTTTGCAATTTAATGGATTTTGTGCTAAGTTTTAGGACAAAACTTCTTTTAAGAGGGGTAGATTGTAATCCCCCATATTTTTAAATATATTATAAATGAAATTATATATTATTTATAATATTTATTTGTATTTTTCCGGAATTTAATTTCAAAAGTTTCAATTTTTAATTTGGGTCGAAAATTATTTTGGTACAAATTTTTATATATACCTTCATTCTATAATTCATGTCCAAATAAACAAAGCCAAACTCATTTTACATACTTGATTGGCCCATTAATTTTATGAGGCCCAATCTTACAACTTACCTTACACCACTCTCTCTCCTACAAATAACCCATAAATCCCTAAATTATTCCCCACACAAAAAGGTTAGTCTTATTTTCTCTCCTCTTTATTTTATTTTCTTATTTTCCTCTTATTTTTCTTTTTCCTCTTATTTTTCTTTTTCCTTCTTTTCTTTTCTTTTCTTTTCTTTTCTTTTTCCTTTTTCTTTCTTTTCTTTTTCTTTCTTTCCTTCCTCCTTCACGTGAGAAAGACTTCACTGCCGCCCCCAAGTGTTGCTGCCGCCTGCCGCCGCTGCCACACTGCGGCCCGCCGCCGGCGACCCACCAGCCCAGCCGTGGCCCACCGTGGTTGCCCCTTTTCCTCCTCCTTTGTTCTATTCTTAGTTTTTCTTAGAATTGATTTAATTGTTTTGGGGTTTTGATTTTGTAGTATAAAGATTATATTTTTAGTATTAAAATCATGTTTTTGATAGCTTAAACCTATAATTTCAGATTTTAATTGTGTTATATATTTTCATATTTTATAATTTATAAGGTTTTAATTTAATCAAATTGGGATTTTAGGGTTCTAATGAGCAATTAATTTGGGGCTTTTGTTCTTATTGTATTTATAATGATTAATTAACCATAAAAACATGTTTTAATGGAGTTTTAAGGACATTTAATCTAAATTATATTGCTGGAAATTTGGTTAAGTATTAATTTATTGTTGTTGCTTGTTTTCTAGGAAGTGATTATTTCTTATGAGACTTTTAAGTGATTAAAAGTGGCACAAAGGATTGTTTACACGAGGTACGTACATGTCTACTTTGTTGTAAGTAGTATCATGTTTAGGTACCAAAGAAAAGAACTTAGTTTCATGATTAGGGAACACTTGGATGGAAATTGTTTGGTTACACATTGATTTAATTCATGAGCTTATGTTTATGAGAAAAGTTTTGGTGAATTGATTATGTTTGTATGGAATTATGGATGCAAACATGTTGAATTATATTGGATTAATTGTTTGTATGGAATGTCGATACAAGCATATTTTATTGGATTGGTTTATTAACCATGTTTGGATTATTAAAGGGTTGGAATTGAATGGTTTAAGTGGAATGAATTTATTAATTATTCCACAAGGTTATTATTTATTTATTTATTACTCAATCATGACTTTAAGTATGTTGAGTAAAGGTGGATTAAGCCGAATGGCTAGGTGAGTTGGCTATGTTCAACAATTTTGGATAATTTAGAAGTGTAATGGAATTAAAGGTCAATTTGTGATGTGATCACCATTGTCCTAAATAAGATTAAAAATGAATTGATGTATGATTGTTATGTATGGTTTATTTGATTGAGTCGGCTATTAATTAAAATTGTAATCACGTAAAGTGAAACATGGATGAGCAATAAAACTCTGGAAAGCGTGCACTTCTAGAGTATTGACAATTATGGGTTGGGGTACACGTTGGTAGCCCGTGGCTTTCCAAGGCTTGTTTGATCAACATGTCCTCTTATCTTTTGGTATTTATATTTTTATTTTATAATGAAAGTTAGATGGGATCCTAGACTAACTTTGTGAGAATGGAGTCGCACCCATTCTTGCATCGCGCTAAACTTTTATTTTAAATGGTCATTTGGGAGCAAAATGATTTGGTGGATTGGACAACCTCGTCTATTGCTTACTCCAAACTAAATAAATTAAATTAAATATAAAGAGTCAAGTGTTTGGAATTGATTAGCAAAGTATGATGAGTCGATTGAATTGTTTAAGTGTGGAGTCTTGATTAATGAATTCAAGTTGTATGTTTATTTACTTTAATTAGTTGAGCATGTCAGGTTTTGTGTGTTGTAGCTTGTATGTACTCAGCTTTGCTGATTGCGTGCTTTTGTGTGTTTTCTTTGGTCATGGCCTTCGCCTTTCAATGACCCTGTGATGTTCCAATTATTACACTTGTATTATTGGGGAGCAGTATTGCACAAGTTAGCTTGATGATGTGGAGTTCGGGGATTTGACATACGCATTGTCAAGGGATTGGTGTGATTGAGAGTATTCGTTCTTTGTGTTGAACTTATTTATGTTTTACTATTTTAATTATGTTTTGAGATTTTGAGTATTGGTTTAGTTTTAATAAGGGCCTTTATGGTTCCAATTTGTAAGCTTTGACTTATTGGATTTCTAAATTATATTATTTTAATATTTAAGTTGGATTTCCGCTGCAATACTTTGATAAAGCCTTAACGTTTTAACACGTGGCGGTAATATGCCAATGGTTCTCCTCTATTTTTATTTAAAGTAAGTGGTTTGAAAAAGGGAGAATTATTGGGGTGTTACAACAACGATGAACAACAACTCCCTCGAGATCCTCAAAGCCTAGAGTCTCTAAACCATGCATGAAAGGATATAGGTTTCTCTCAAACTCATCCCTTTCCCATGAGGCATTGCCAATGAATTTTCTCAAAAAGTTATAATGCTTTGTTATTCCTTCAATGAATATACTAGAAATAGCCTCAAAAGAGTCCAAAGACTCATGGATAAAAGGGTCACAAGCATACAAAGTAGACTCATAAACATGGGGAAGGGGGTTTGAATCCTCAAAATCGACATTTTCTTCATTCTCCACTCCTCCACCACCACTCAAGGGACTCTCAACCTCTCTTGGTAGCTCAAACTCACCATCATCATCCTCATGAACTCCCTCATTCAAACATGAAGAAGGCTCACTCACATCCTCATAAGGGAAGCTCTCAAAGGGGGTGAATAAGGGGAAGGATGGCATTCAAGCTCTGGGAATGAAAAGGATCAAAATCCTCAAAAATCCTCTCATCACAAGAAAATCTTCCCTCACCTTCACACCCTTGGCCCACATCATCCTCAAAAACACTCTCACACTCTAAGTGAGGTGCCTCACATCCATCTAAATCAATCTTAGCACTCATTACTTGAGCAAGCCTCACTTCTCTCAATTTTTTCATCCTCTTTAAGCTCTTGGAGTTGTTGGGTGAGATATTGCATTTGAGAAAGAATTTAGGCATCGATATTATCGAGTTAAGGTTCATGATCAAAATCAAATTGCAAATCATTAAAATTAGCACAAACATCATCACAATGAGAATAAGAGGGAAAGGGGTCAACATTCATATTTGGATCATCACAAGGCACATTAGAAGCATCAAGAAAATTCATGCAAAAATTAAAAGAATCTTGACATTGAGAATCAAAACAAGATAAATTACATTCTCTATCATAAGAATCTCTAGCGAGCCAAGTGAAGAAATTCCAAGCATCATGCATAGACAAATGATGGAATCTACCATTATTCATGCCCTCAACCATTCCCCTAGTATACTCATTCATGCCCCAATAAGCTATACCACAAGCATCACTAAGAGAGCACCCACGGTAACTAAGGAAACCATCTAGTCTTTCAAAGTAAGCGTAGAAGGGTTCACCATCAAATTGAGGAAAAGATAAGCATACCATTTTTATACAAAGAACAAAGAAAAGCAAACAAAAATCAAATAATATACAAGAACATAGCTAATCTAATCAACACAAACTAATGAATGCCTTAGTCCCCGACAACGGTGCAAAAATTTGATTGAAGGGTGAAAGTAGGTCGTTGCGACTACTAACCCTAACCAAATTAGAAATTTATAATACCTAAACTTACACCAAACTAGTTAATGGCAAGTAAAGGGTCGAACCACGAAGACTAAGTGTATCAGTTTATGCAAATTAGACTAGTAGGAAAGGTTGTGAAATAGAGAGAGATTAAACTAACGACTACTTATAACAAACAACTAAAACTAGGGAAAGTGGAATCCAATTACATCAATGCATTTAACAACATCATACAATTAGATGAAAATGACCTCAATTAGGAACAATTAACACAATTAACACAATTAACTCACTCTGGCACAATTAAGCATGTTAATCATTCTACTAAACTAATTCACTCTCGTGCAACTAGCCTAGCAAAGGTATGGAATAATTTAGGGCTCTCAAACAACTCACTTTCGCACAATTGATTGAAAGCACAATTAAGAGCATAGAATCAATTAGCTAAAAAGATTTTAATCCATAAAAGCATCATCCATACACAATAATCAAGAAACAATTTCATACTAATCACAATCA